GGTGTGGGTGTGGGTGTGGGTGTGGGTGTGGGTGTGGGTGTGGGTGTAGACTAGAAAAGACACCCACACTCACACCCACACCCACACCCACACCCACCCACACCCTTCTTATAATAGTAGAGAAAGCCTTGCCGAAACAAGAGGTAAAGGGAAAGACTTTTGCCCAGGGGTATAAAAGTATGAGGCTGTAAGGCTTTGATCTATATACATAATATCGCGTAACTATATGTCTGTTATCGGATGGAAAGTTAAACGTCTGAAGTCATAAGTTAAAGGAGAAAGCAGTCGTGCAGTATGCACGGATTCTCACTAGTTATCATATAATGTAGTAATCAGTATAAATTTAAAAGAATATATGTTGTAACTGATACACTGAAAGAAAAATAGGTACCCTACGAAACCCAAAAGAGATTTGATTTTTGTAAAGAAACCGAAGTCATTTAAGGTGTCTTACCAAAAAGGTTTCGTGCAAACCCTATTCTTTCGTTGCTTCAAAACAACCTTTCACGTATCAGTTTCCTATTACACTTCACAAAATACGATTTTCTTATTCATCCATGCTCAAACACCTATTTAATCATCCAATATTTCTAAGCCCTCATACCTATCCGCAATCCCTTATTGCTGTATTTAAGTTCTGATCTCTATGTCTTAACTCCTTACATTTAACCTTAACTCCTTATATCTCTATCTTACCCTTATATCTATCCTTAGGTCTTACATCTATCCTTAACTACTTATATTTTGAAGCCTGAAGTCTGAAAGCTGTCGTTTAATTTCGAGAATTGGTTGTAGCCTCTATGTAAACGAATAAAGGAATCAAATATATCAAATCAGTACGCAGTCTGATTGGACAACCAATGTTATTTGTAGAATTGGTATAGCGAAAAAGATTAGTTTCATGCGTAACCTCTTGATCAGGAGACCTCCGGAAGGTTTGGTACGAAATTATTTGCGACTAAAAAGGATCCGTTATGGTTTTTACAGAACTTGATAGACTGCAATACCTTATAGAGGTTTTGTAGGGTCGCACGATACCTAAAAAGATTTCGTCAATGAGGACGAAACTTCAAAAGTTTCGTAATATGCCTATATTTTTCAGTGTAATTCTACCAAATGGAGAACACTTAGAAGAATATATGCCGCAGAAAATCCAAAAGGTAACAACTTAAAAGTATTAAATCAGGATGAAAGAGTCGTTTTTAAGTAAATTTGTACTGATGTACTGCGTACTAAGTACCAATGTATGCTAGTATCAGTACTAAGTACAAGTTTATTTAAGTAAAGTGTACTATAGTACCAGTACGAAGTACAAACATTTTGAAGTAACAAGTATTAAAGTATCAGTACAGAGTACACTTTCGAAGTAAAAAGTATATTTACTTGTACTTCAACAGATGTACTGGGTACATAAGGTTTTTAAGTAAAAAGTACGAAAAGTGCCAAGCACCGTACTAAGTATCCAATCTCTGCAGTAGACTCTTCTGCATGGTTTTATGATCAATACCATCTTCTTTCATCTAAACACCTTAATGTAAAGCACAAAGGTCTTCACCCTCATTTTTAGGTCTTCTTATGTGGCCAGAAGTTTTCCATCCGCACCTGTAGGTTATGATTTTTGTGTGAAGTTAATTTTTATCATTTTCACTTATGCTTGATTAATAGGAAGGTTCTTGTCTCAGCTTTGACTTCATGTTGTCTTCTTATTTCGCTATACTGAGGTATGAGCCTGTGGCTCAGTTTTTTCTCATGTTGGCCAAACCATTTGTGAAAAGATGATACTCGTTCATAGCTGCAATCATATTTCTGACTATTTCATCATACTACGCTTATGCTTGTTCTCATGAAATTTCCAGTCAAATTATTCTAATAGCTTGATTCTAGTCTGTGCTAACCAAAGTAATGAATCGAATGGGAGACGAAAGGAATGCAAAAAGATGACTTCACTGAAGTCAATCATAAATATCAATTTCATATGTGTCGAAACCCTCAGTTATGAGCTTTTCAGTAATATGTTAGCTCTAATTATGACTTTTAAAATACTTGTTCTTGCCTTAGAAGTCCTCTCAATAAGGAACTCACCGAAATGCAGTAATCAAAACCAACTATAACGAGTTATTTTCAATGATGACTGCTGTGTATGTCAGCTGGATCTGTTTTTTTTTCAAATGATTTGTTTGTTTTTTTTCTCATCATAGCAACATTTTACGTGCCACTTCTCTCTGTTTTTTGCCTCTTTTCTGTTCATTATTTTTCCAATGTTTGTGAACTGTACATAGCAACCGTAAAACATTTGACGGTAAAGAAAGCAGAACGATTAATTATAAGCAAGAAAAAACTCATATTTAAAATAAAAAATTCAGTCTCCCGGAGTTACTAACACTTATTTTCACTTTCATGTAACATGTAGGAATCGATAGTGTTCAAATACAAACGATGTTGGACAAACATAAAATTGTTTAGATACCCACGAAAAGATCTAATTATCGAGCTCCAGCAAAATATGATTCTTCTTTAATTGCTATGGCGAATTTTTTTCTTCTAACATAAATGATAATCGCATCATTTTAAGTGTTAGACAACTTCGCTGAAAGTTTATAAAACATTGATAACTTACGATATAATTACTATTTTTCAAATGACATTCATATTATAAAAAACTTTCCACATGCATTTGATTTCTTCATCAAAGAACAATTAGAAAAAAAACGAGAAAGATTTTTTGACAAGAATTTATTGAGACATATGATGAAGTTTCCTTTTGAATATGAATTAAATCTTCATCCACTTTCTCCTGAGTCTATCAGATATTCTCAGAGAACTATACAAGATGAATGGACAGTTAGGTATGGGTGTGAGTTTGACTGAAATAAATACCCACATCAAATGTTGAAGACGTAAATCATCTTTTGTGATGCATAAACAACAGAAACAAAAATACCATTATTGTAATGTATGCCTAATGTATTTACGCAAACACAATAGTTTATTCTGCGAAAAAAAAATTGTCCATAACGTTGATTGCATTATGATTCTGTTAGGTTTCTGCTGAAGAGTGCAAGCATGACAAACAAGAAAAATCAACAGAAAAGTACATTAACAACACAAAAACGAACGAAAGAAATTCATCCACTAATATATTTTTACGATTGTTATAATCATTTCTTTTTCTTCCTTTTAGTGTCTGTACTAGGTGGGAAATAATATTTTGATAGGGGGGTACCGCTATAATTTCATACTAGAGATTCGCCAATTGGAGAATGTCGTAGGGAAATTCGCCACTGGTGAGTGTACTGTTGGCGAAATTCCGAATTGGCAAACTTACAGAGAGCCAGCTGAGTGTACGACAAGACTGATGATGAAAAATCTTTTCCAAGATGTGCATGACTACAAAGCTAAAAATAGAATCAATAGGGTGACGAAAATATACGGTGATGGTGACTAGATGAGCACTGCTGGCTACCCTGAGCCTCGATGAATCTGTAAATGCTAGAAACCGTCTATCACCGTGGGTCTTCGCTGTAGTAACTGGCATTATGAGCCTGCATGGTGACGCTTAAAAGTATATAATTTACAGCGATGTATTATTGTATATGAAAGTATTTTTCGTAAATCAGTATGATAGTGACGCCAGTTTTAGGACCGATATTGTCACAGGTGTGGGTGTGGGTGTGGGTGTAGGTCATCTCTTCACTCACACCCACACCTTCAGTTGCAGCCATTTTTCAGTAATACCATCATAGTATGTTTATGCCTTCCCACGAAATTCTCAGTCACATTATTTTAATAGTTCGATTCTCGTCTATGGACTGACGAAAAGTGATGAATCAAATGGGATAAAAAGGAGCAAAATAATCATGTAAAATAGTGACAACTTCGCAGAATAGAAGAATTAGTCCATTTCCGCCGACAATGTGTTTCGCAGACTCCTACACAACCGAGTCATTTCATATTTGATCCGTTGTATATAGTATTTTGTTATAATTAATTCGTTTATTAGCAAACCAATTGGTCATCATCTGAGTTGGGAGGACATGGGTGTGGGTTTGAGTATCAATGTAAAGAGGAAAATACCCACACCCACACACCTACATTGGAGTCAACGAAACACATCGTCATCAAAAAGATTTGGCGAAAATAGAAGTTACCACATAGAAACCCTTGCAATCATTGAATTTGTGTGCGATAGATGCAACAAAGTAAATTCACTAGGTTGCTAATTGACAAGCGATTATCAATCGATCGGGTGAACGGAAGTTGGTCATGAGTATCGATTTCATATGTGTCGAAATCCTTTTTAATCAGTATTCCAATCATATATTAGCTCTATTTATGACGTTTAAAATACTCTTTCTAGTCTTAGAAATCTTTCCAATGAGTTACTCATTAAAAGCAAGTAATTCAAGCCAACTATACCGAGTA